GAAATATATTATAATTATTGATTTAAAACATCCTGAAACTGGCTATAATCTCAGAAAATGGTTCCTGTTTCCAATTATAAATTGTACATTATCAGTACAAAATGGCATCAGCAAGTTAATACTTGCCCCTGATAGGCTGTTCATACATTTATAATTTCAAAATCTAAAATTATTTGAGAGAATGCAGGATCTTAACATATGTTCATAACATAAAGCATTATAATCATATAATTATTCAAATTTAGTTACCTGTGTCCTGTGAATTGATTTAATGATTCTTCTCATTTGTTGGCATATTCACATATATGGAATTAGAAATAGTAATAATAATAAATATATATATTCATTTTCAAATGTGCATTCACAATGTACATTCTACATGTGTAAACTATGTGTAGTGGTTCTCCTCTATTTTTATGTTTTTCACTTATTTACTGTAAGAGTGATGGAACAATCAAAATAGGAGAATGAACAGCAATAAGTGAATGATCCCTTTGACTTTCTTCAACTGAACCCAGTAGACAGCCATTCATAAAATCTTCATAAGATTGGAGAGAAGTGAAATACAAAAAAACAAAAATATCAAAACTGAAACAATTTTCTTCTCCACCTCAGTTATAGCAGAGTAACTGAAAGAGTTTCTAAACTTTCTGCTGACTGAGTGTACCCCATCTTAATAGTTCTGGGGTGCAGTTTGTGTATTTGGATTCTCTTTATTACCTGGTCTGATTTATAAATATAAATTCCAGTGCTTCCATACATTGGTATGGAAAGTTAAGAAATGAATTATTACATTTGTGTTCTGTGATTTTTGCCATTTAATACAATTGGGTGATTTTTTTGAGACAAGATTTTTCTTTGTAACAGCGCTGGCTGTTCTGTAACTCACTATGTAGACCAGGCTGTCCTAGAACTCAAGAGAGATCTTTCTGCCTCTGCCTCCCCAGTTCTGGGATTAAAGGCATGCACCACCACTGCCTGGCTTAGTTGGATGAATTTATTTGTATAATTGCTTTAAAGAAATATTTAAGGGGTTTTGCATTTTAAATCATAATACTTTTTATGGTCCATAAGTCTAGGGTTTTACTACCTAGAAGATACATTTCTATATTTAAATGAGGTTGTATGTTTTAATTTATTTGATGTAAATATATATGTATATATATATATGTATATATTTATATGGCACTAGGCAGTGGAAATATTTAAAATTGTGGCTTATTTAATCTTAGTATTTGAAATAAAATACATAATACAGCCTTGCTCTTTTAAGCATGTAGTTTTATAATAAAAATGATTAAGTTTTGGTTCTGTAAATGCATATCACTAAATACTAGAGAATATACATTTTCTAAAGGGTAGATGCAAAAGTTACTGTTTTCTAATCATGCTAGATAATTGATAAGTGGAAGTAATGATTACATGGGCCACTTTCTGAATGTAAATATGGAAAAAGTAACTATCTTCATCTGTATATATATATATATATATATATATATGTGCAATAAGACAGAAATGTCAGAAGTTTATCACATGACATTTATTACCATACAGTTACAATGGTTTTATACTTGAGGATCTCAATTTAAATTGGAGAAAAGTTAGAATGTATTTAGAAATCCTATTTAGTAGCAAAACTAGTAGTATACCACACGGTGGAGACAGACGCTCACAAATCTCCAGGATCAGCATCTCTCAGAAAATATAAGCACTTATGGAAATGAATAGCAACCACAGAAATACTACCCATGCACTAGTTGTTTTATTTTTCTGTTTCTTATTGATGAATTGTAGCAAGAATGCAATTTCTGACAGGGAACACAAAGCCTACTCATTTTTAAATTGCTATCAAACTATGAACTACATTTAAGAAATCATATTTCCGTCTTGTTCTGCCAATATAAATCATTCAAATCCATTCCCACCACAAACACAAATTTCAGAAAATGTAGTTTTTCTGGCATTCTAAATGGCTCCTGTGTCTGAAACATTGCACTCTTCAACTCTGTCTTCAACAGGCTGGGCTGGAACTTTAGGAAATGAAACCCTTCAAGTAAATCTAGTACTTCATAACTTTGTTACAGAAAACAATTTATTTATAGTCATTGGCAAAGAAAATGTTGGGATGAAATAATGTTCAACAGTTATCAGGTGTTTTGTATTCTCCAATGTTACACACACACACACACACACATTATATATTATATATATATATATATATATATATATATATGCCTATGGGATGTGCTGGAGTAAGGGTAGCACAGAGATTGTAGGTGTGGCCAACCAATGACTGGTCTGGCCTGAGATATATGCCACAAGAGTGAGCCCACCTCCTGACACTGCCTGGAGCATCAGAATGCAGAGACAGAATAGACCAAAGACCTAGGATAGAACTAAATACAGTTAGAGAAAAAAATGTCAATGTAATGATGCCTAACTACATTCTGCTACACTCATAGATTGCTACCTAACCCAACTGTCATGAGAGGCTTCACCCTGGAAACAGGCAAACATTATCCCAAGCTCAAGGAATTCTGCTGAAGAGAGGGAGTAAGGATTATGGGAGCTAGGAGGATGAAGGACATCAGAAGAAAATCCACAGAATCAACTAATCTTGGCTCATGGACTCACAGAGACTGAAGGAACAACCAGGGAGGCTGTATGGGACTGACCTAGACTCCCTGCATATAGCTTAGTCTTCCTGTAGGACTCCTAACACGGGAACAGGGGCTGTCTCTGACTCTTTTGCTGGCATTTGGGACTCTACTCCTCATACTGGGTCGTCTTGCCCAGCCTTAATAAAAGGGAAGGTGCTTAGTCTCACTGCAACTTGATATGCCATACTTTGTTGATAGCCATGGGAGGCCTGCTCTTTTCTGAACAGAAAAGGAGGAGGACTGGATGGGTTGAGGGGGGTAGGGGGAGGTGCGTTGGGGGAAGGACTGGGAGAAGACAAAGGAGGGCAAATAAAATAAAGTGGATCAGAAACACATGGAGATTTGATTTGAACTTGTTTTGACTCTAGAGTCATTCTTAAAGTTCATTTAGTGTATATTAATTTAACTGAGATGTTACTTGAAAGTGATATTAAACTACTGTATCTAATATATTAACATTTAACACACAAATATATGTACATATAAGATATAACTATACATAAATATATATTTCTAAATATATTTTTCAATCTGTATAACATTATATTTGTATGTCTGTTTTCAGGGCTGAGATTTTACACTTTAGAAGCCAAAGAAACATATTATATGCATGTTTATAGAACACTTTACTATGTTCATATACCACATTCTTTCAAAACAAGTAAGATTTTTTTCTAAAACTCTCATTTTTACCTAAGTCATTAAGAGACTGTCTTGAATGTGCAACTTATGATTTCACTCTAAAAGTCTCTAAACTGAGTCTTTATAGATTTTAAAGGATGTATTTTTTAAATTTCAAAATCATACCATTAAAATTATTTCCTTTCTATTCAGAAACCCTCAATCATTCTGCATTCAGATATCCCTCCAAAGGCATACCACCACTTATTTTTTTAAAGTAGAACTACAACTTTGCATTTACTTTATATTTATGTAGTTCTTAATTCATCATCAGTTTCTCATCACTGTTAAAAATGGCTGATTTTTAGATAGTCACACAAATAATTAATACTACAGTACTTGACTAAATCTGCATAAGGTAGTTTTCTTAGTGCTTATACTGGAGTGATCCAATATCAAAATAAATTTGCTATTATCACTACTTCCATTATCGTATTTATTGTTCTTGTCCCAAGCCTGATTTTATCACCAGAATTCTCCTCCAGATTAAATTTGTTATTTGTCTATTGCAATAGTATATTTTCAATAAGGAACCCATTTCTCTGAAATTTGCTGTAATATAAAAAAAGTTCTTATCATCTGCTCCCAGTGCTCAGGGACTTCATTTGTTAAGTGTGGACAGTGTGGTAAACTACTAAATGCTAGTATGTGTATTGATAACCTGGGTAACATATTGTGATTCAATGCAGTGTAATAGCATTTGTAGCCACTATATACAAATCCTATATTTTACACAGCTATCTGCTTTTTAAAGTGAAATGCTCCCAGAATCTCTATAAATAAGTTGGAAGAGGAACTATGGAAATTATCTACCTCTTTCTAATACCTCATGCATCATTTCACAGAGATATTAATTATACTTGGTTATTAAGTTAATAATATACATATATGACTTGAAAAGTAGCTATTTACTGTCAGGTTTAAAAATGTTAAATCATGATACACATGTGACTGTACATACATTTACATGTTATTTAAAAACAGAAATTTGCTAATTAAAATATTTACCATATTAAAATATGTTAGGAGATGGAATTTACTTATTTAATTCCAACTTAAATAGGATTCACTTCTACTTTAAATCTCATTTTCCAGAAAAATGTATTTAGAAACAATTCATGATTTGGGTTGAAAGCATGGGAGTATGTGAGTGTCTACAAAATTATATCCAGTGTGATTAATAGTAACAGGGTGAGTATTTATTTCTGCCATGTTGTTAGCTACTTGTAGTATATTAATATAAAATCAGAAACATAATTTAGAATTTTAATTCCCATTATACAAAATATGAATTTGTGACAAATGGTTGGGATTGAATGTTTAAGAGAAGAATAAATTATTTTTTGCCATGTAAATTGCTATGATTCCCCTCAAGTTTGAGTATAGTTCTGAAACACTTGGGAACAATAGATATCAGATATCTTGCATTTCATTGAAATTGGTGCACTGTATACTTTGGAAAATATATCTCAGCATTATAACCTGAACTTCTTCAAGCTCTTACTTCCAAATAGTCAAATGAGTAAATGAAAGGAAACCACTTCACAATTAATTAAATAATGTTTACATATGAATATCAACAGCATCCCCTTGGGGGTAGAAACACTAAAAATAAAAAAAAAATAAAAACAATGCTCATTCCCAGTTTGTTATACTTGCCTGGGCTTCCTGTGGCATTTGAGCTGCATCCACCTTGTCAGCAATATAAGCTGCCAACTGCTTGTCAATTAATTCAAGGGACTCCTGAATTAAGTGTAAGGATTTTTCAATCTCCTGTGCAGACTGGATACTCTGTTCAAGCAACTTTTGTTTTCTCACAGCCTAAATAAAAGAATAAATAAGAGTGAATTATTTAAATGTTTCCTCTTAGGAGATATTCTGCAATTCTTGTCATACAGTCAGCGAAGAAACTAGACTCTTCCACAATCACCTTTTTGTAAGACAGATTGCGTAGCTTTCTGGCACTCATTCAGCCCTGCTTATATAAATAAAAAGAAAAGGAAAAGAAAAAAAACAACAACTTAGTACACAGGATCAGAGGTGTCTGCAGAAAAAAAAGTCACAGAATCATGCACATCAAAGGAAGAAGCTGGAAATCATCTCAGTTGTTGCAATCTGCTGTTCTCAGGCTGAATGTTCCCTCTGATCTTATTATATAGTTCAAGAGATTTGGTTTACTTAGAATAGGGTCACCGTCATCACAATCCAATTCAAGACAGATAATCCACTTGCACCGGCGAGACACATACACAATCTGTTCAGAATCGGCTCCTTTTTGAAAAGAGAAATTTAGATAACCATCTGTTTAAGGATTCATTTTGAATACAGTTTTTACCCTGCCTTGCATGGGTGCTTCCCCTCCCTAATTTCCTTTCCAATTTGAATTATGGTAACTGTACAATTGAATTTGTGTTACTGTTGAAGTAGGACAGCTAATAAGTAAACGTAATAAAGCTGTAATTAAATGTGATTAGGCCAATTTGACACTTTTCAAATATTAATAGCATGCTGAACAGACTTCAAGGTCTACCTTGAAGGATTTAGTGACCTTTAAAAGAATCCTTCTAAAGGTAATGAGTAAGGCAAAAACCTTAATTATAAATTTTTTAAGTCATTCATACACATAAAAGCATAGGCCTGATTGGGATAATGTAGTACTGGTAACACTCCTTTCCAAAGATTGCACTTAGATTTCACCATGTTCCAGGCATTTATGTTATACATATTTGAATAAACATATACATCCATTAGAGATGTCATTATTCTTGGATAAAACCACTGTAGAACATACTATTACTCAAGTACAAATTCATACAAAGATATCTGGAAAAGGAAAAAGGACCTGGAAGCCTGCATGAATACTCTTCCTATACTTAGTGCATTCTAGGATCTGTTGTATACCACTCCAATGTTCTCACTGAATTTTTGAAAATATCATTATTTGTTCATTCACTTTTTCTTATTCATACTTCATTATAGAAAGGGTGAGTTTCAAATTTGCATTCTGATGAAAATAAATCATATCCTATGATCATATTCAAACACCATTACCATTTCTTGCCTCCTCCCTTTCTAATAACAAAACATCATATATCTATCGTGTGACATTTTGGTATTTGTATGGGCTGTGAAATATTTAAATTAATCTATTTAACATTGTCTATTTAAATTAATATTTAATATAATCTATCAAATCTAAACCTATTATCCTTTATAATCTCATAGTCTCTATTATTTTAAAATTTGCATTAATATACAACATTGTTGTTTCTCATTAAGTGTGCACATTTATTTTGGATTCTTAATGCAAATGAGGTAGGGGTTCTGTCCACATTGTTCTTTGCTGCACATCAGTTCCCAGAGCAACACTAGCACCTTTGCACATGACTAAATGAATGATATAAAAGTTTATTTATTTAATAAAGGAAACAGAAAAGTTCAATCAGCCAAAGAATGGAATTCTAATGAAAATAGAATCTAAAAAGTAACTGCTGCTATTTGCAGAATAACTCTTCCTTAATATGTTTGTTTTAAAAGTATAAGAATTGTATGGATCATTATATAAAACAGCCATTAATCTATTTCTATTAAAACATTCCAAGATTTATTACTGAGACCTTGCCCTGTACTCTAATAAAAACAGTTCCCTGTATATCAGTCAAAACATCAACCAGTTTCTTTCCATAATGATTCAAATAACAGTGCTCATAGTTATAATCAGAACCTTCTGTATTGTAGTAGAAACTGTCTATAGTATACACAGAGTTCCTCCAGACAAGTGGGTCTCTAACTAATGATATATTATCAGCATTGTGACAGGTGGCTGCAGAAGCCTTCCAATCATAGTATATAGTAATTGTCTGATTAGACACTGTTTAAATGTGGCCCTTTCTCTGACTGAAGGCAAAACCAGCATACTCCTCAGTACACATTTGTAGAATTTTAATGTAATTGAAGAGGATATATTGTATCAGAATTTTAAATCACATCCTGGCCTCAAATTTATGCTTCTAAATCTAACTTTATTTTTCCATTCTTGAGATTAAATGTGCAGTATGACATAGTATGACCTACAAGATGACAAAAGATTTGAGATGGGTGGTTTCTTCGCCTAGTCTAACAGGCAGCTAATAAGAGCGTGATAACATGGATTGTTTGATTATCTCAGGCAGTAAAAGGCTTGATGTCAATCCAAGCTTTGAACTAGTCATTGCATAAGCTGGTTTCTATTTCTAAACATCTTATTAGGCTAACCCCAAGAGGATGCCAGACTGTGACTTTTCAGGACTCTATGAAACATTTGACCTGCTATTACAATAAGTGGAATTAGTAGAAACTCCTAAATCATACTTAGATATTTGTTTTGATCTGAAAACAATGCCCAGCTGTTGTTTTAAAATGTAATTTCATAACTTTGGTTAATCTACTCAGAAATAACAAGAATTATAGAGATTAACAGAAATAGCAACTATTAGGGTAGTTAGAAAAACATTAAGACTCGCAACAAGGAATCTATGAATGTGAAAACAAAATCCTAGGAATGGCTGTAAGAATGAAGACACATTACTGCAAGTTTGTGCAAATGATAGAAAGTGCAAAAGAAAATAGTTTTTTAACTTACTGTTGTTTTAATGTGCTTTTCAATATAAAACAAATGCTTTCAAAAATAAAATTTAATGATTTGTTTTTGCTAGAAAGATAACTGTGAACTGACTTTTGCTCAGATTCTCATGTAGTTCCCTTTTGTGTAACAGTATGAAAAACACTTAAGACATTCCTTCTCACTAAATGGGCAGGAAAAAAAATAGGTAGAAAGTTGGCGGTGAGTAGGGAGGTAAGGTGGATATTAGAGAAGTTAGAGAGAGGAGTGGGGTGTGAATATAATCAAAATGATTTTGTATAGAATTCTGAAAGAAAATATATTTTTTATATAAGAAGCTCTGGAAGAACAAATACATTGTAAAATCACTAAGAATTGGAATGAAAACAAATTTGAGATATGACTATATTCCAAAGCAGAGAAAATTAAGGAAAAGAATACTTCCTTATATTATTTTACAATATTATTTTATAAAATGTTACATTTAAAGAAATGGTGTATTTTTATGCAATATTTATACCTTAGTAGAGGATAGATCAGCTCATCACTGAAAACAAATTTGAAATATGAACATTTTCATCACTACAGTAGTATATTATGGGAAAATTATAATCTATATTTGTCATATAGTACAGATTTATAGTTAAGAAAACACATTTATTATGTATATCATATTCTTAAGTATTAAATTATATATATTGTCCCTGTCTATGTAGGAATAATGTAACTGAAGCATGAGCAGATCGTGTATGATTAGGGAATATGACATTTTCAACCATACCAAAAAAAATCAACTCTAATTTGCCTGTGGTAAATAATATAAATTCCCTATTCAGTTCTGCCCTTCATTCTTTTGTTGCAGTGTGTTCAAATTATATTCATTATTCACACACACACACACACACACACACACACACACACACACACACACGCTGTAGGGAGGGCCAGAGTAAGAGTATTTGCCTAGCACTTAAAGGCCACAGGTTCAATTTCCAGCAAAGAAAAGCAAAACCAGAAGGATTTATATAGATTCCACATTTATACCCCAATGAAAGCTAAATTTTGTGTCTCCATATTCAAAATATACAAACATGACAAAGAGTATGATTAGACTTGTCCATTTTCTTACATTCCTTTTTTTTTCTAGAGTAATTAAGAGTATTGTGAACCCAATAGCTTAAAGGACAGCAATAGAGATGTAGATTGGAAATTCATTACTCTTCCTTTTCAGACAAATCTTGAGCTAAAAATAGGAAAGAGCATTAAAATGAATGTGAGATTGAAATTTTAAGCAGAACAAAGCAAGAAGTCTTTCTTACTGTAGAGACCAAAGATAAATAGGATGGCTCTAGCTCAGGATGCCAGTAACAAATATTAGGTCAATAACAATTTGAGGTAAAATCACGTTGAGGTATTTGGATATTTTTTTTCTCATAAAGTACATATCAAATTCAATAATCCATGAAAATAATAATATATGATGGACTATAGTTATTCCAAATGCAACATATTTTCTATTGTTTGCTATTCACAATGAACAACACAGAAATTTTAGGTTCTGTAAAATGATGAAAACAATAGGACTGCTAGGAATATTCTCTTAAAAAATTTTTCTTGCGATATATAGTGGATAATAATTGGTAAGAAGACATCTTTGTATAAGCTGACAACTGAAATTCATCTTGGACTTTACTGTACATTCAACCCTCTTTGGTCTGCATTACAAATAAATATCTCAGTTTCCACAGTATGTGTTTAGGAAGTAAGAAAGACCCGTAAAATTAGATATGCAGCTTCTAAATATGTAGGCATGTCTAAAATATCTTCTTTGGTTGTTTGTTTTTTCGAGACAGAGTTCCTCTGTGTAGCTTTGCACCTTTCCTGGAACTCGCTTTGGAGACCAGGCTGGCCTAGAACTCACAGAGATCCGCCTGCCTCTGCCTTCCGAGTGCTGGGATTAAAGGCATGTGAGACCACCTCCCGGCTGTGTCTAAAATATTTAATATCTGTTTTTCAGGCACAATTCAGCTAGAATTTTCCAAAGAGAACTAAATGGCAATTGAGAGAAAAGTAGGGGAAGAATACAATGATTTAATCAGGAATTATAGCTTACCAATGTTCATAACTTTAAAAATTACAACATGATTAACTTTGCATTTCTGTTGTTATTGTTCTGGAATTAATGTGTCCTACTGTATTTTAAAATAAGGAGTTTCCAAAC